TTATTTTTTTGTTTTACGTTTATGCCGAGAATAGAGTATCTATTTTGGGGGTCATCCGTTACTCCGAATAAAATGTCTATGTTTACGTCATTCCTGGAATAACATGTTTGTTCTTTCGGGTAAACAAACGCCTTTTTGGACGTAATTTCGCTAACAAACGTATATTCTTACGGTAGTCAAGATAGAGTAGAGAGAGAGAGAGAGAGAGATAGAGAGAGAAGAGAGAGAGAGAGAGAGAGAGAGAGAGAGAGATGAGGAGAGAGAGAGACGAGAGAGAGAGAGAGAGAGAGAGAGAGAGAGAGAGGAAAGGAAAAAAAAAACTGATCAAACCAACATCATACTTTCGTCGAGAACTTTGCACTGGGAGTGAGATACAGATCTTACGTTTATGGGAGAACGGGTTGCTGCAGCCTTGCAACATCCCCCTCCAGCAACACGGAGAGTAGGGTAGGAGGGAAGGGGGGGGGATTGGGCAAGAGAAAGGGGACTTGCCACTACCTCCCCCCCCCTCCAACACACCGACAGCTGTATTTCGAAAACTTTATTCAATGCCCAACCCTTTCTGTTGCATTTTTTCCTAAGATTTGCGATGCAGAGTTTCTAAAAAGTATTGTCGTCTTCCCTTCCCCCCCGTCTTAACACCCCTCCCCTCCCCCTCCCTCCCTCCCTCTTCGTAACCGTTAAGGGATACCGAACAGTTGCCATGGTAACGACCGGTTCCCCCTGCCCCCTCCCCCCCCCTACTCTACAACTCTCACAGGGGTACTAACGGTTCGGTACTTTCCGGCCAAGTGTACATCTCTGTACACCCTAAGCCACACCCTTGTCGCGGGAAGTACTAGTGTGTGAATGAGTGGATGAGAGAGTGTGGACTGCGTGTGTGTGTGTGTGTGTGTGTGTGTGTGTGTGTGTGTGTGTTTGTGTGTGTGTGTGTGTGGTGTGTGTTGTTGTGTGTGTGTGTGTGTGTGTGTGTGTGTGTGTGAGTGAGTGATGGGTGAGTGAGGAGTGAGTGAGTGAGTGAGTGAGTGAGTGAGTGAGTGAGTGAGTGAGTGAGTGAGTGAGTGAGTTGTGTGAGTGAGGTGAGTGAGTGAGTGAGTGAGTGAGTGAGTGAGTGAGCGAGCGAACGAACGAGAGAAAATATGAATGCGTGCGTGCGTGTGTGCGTGTGTATCTCGTCGTTGTCATGCTATTTCCATCAGCAATATAACACCACGCGAGAGTAGATCGTACCCAGCTATACCCATATACTCGTATAAACCAGTTATCAGGACCTGACTTTTAGCTCCGATCTCAAATGTTAATGGAAACACGATCTCCTTTGTTTCTTCTTTTTTTTTCCTTTTTTATAATCGGGGATGACAAAAACAAAAGTTTGCCGTTTGTTTATTTTCAGATCATTTGTTTCCTCAACGTAAAAAGTCCACCATTTTTGTTTACTTGTCCTTGCAAAAAAAAAAAAAAAAATCACATTTCGAAAACAGGGCCGCTATTTTTGCTAACCTGCTCGAAAAGCAACAACAACAACAACAAGAACAACAACGTCATATCGCGAAGACATTTCAGCTTTTAAGATCCTGTTTCGAAAATCGTAGACTCAACAGACAGCCATAAAAAAAGATAGTTTAACCTCATCCCAAAGTTAGGTCTGGTGTGTGCTTTAGGGCCACAAATACACGCACAGGCAGCCTTCTATGTCCCTCAGGGTTCCTCTCCACCTCGGGGTCTTTGGGGGGCTAGAGGGAGGGGGAAGGGGGGAAGGGAGAGGGGGAGAGGTGGGGATGAGGAGGAGGGATAGGAGCCGGGGAGAGGAGGGAAGGATAGGGAGGAGATGAAGGTGAGAGAGGGATGGAAAGGGAAGGGGGAGAGGAGAATGGGAAGAGGGATAGGAGAAGGGGAAGGGGGATAGGAGAAGGGAAGGGGATGGAGAAGGGGATAGGAGAAGGGGAAGGGAGATAGGAGACGGGGAAGGGGATAGGAGAAGGGGAAGGAGATAGGAGAAGGGGATGGGAGATAGGAGAAGGGGAAGGGAGATAGGAGGAAGGAGGGAGAGGGATAAGAGAAGGGGGAAAAGGGATAGGAGAAGGGAAGGGTGATAGGAGAAGGGAAAAGACAAACAGGAGGATGGAAGAACACAGGAGGGAAGAGGAGAAGAAGGAACGAAACAAGGAAAAAGAAGGGGAAGGGAGGACTATAAAGATCACCATCTCCAACAGATACGGCTTTATGGTTCCCCTCGGCGTGTGTGGAGACGCGAAGCCATCACACAGGCTTCAGCGTCGGGGAGGAGCGAGCGACTGACAGGCTGAAGAAAGTCCCCTGAGCCTGTTTGTCTGGTTGGGACCTCTTCTGGATGACTAACTTGGGGA